GCTTCCATTTGGTTTTTGATGGATTTTTGACAGGGTTTGTCGGAATAAAGTTGAAGCTCAAGAAAATCAATTGAATAGGAAGTGAAAGCCAGGGCTTTAATTTGTTTACCTTAACGTGAATATTATTTACAAAAATATATTTTTAAGAATTGTATTATTTATATATGAATTGATCGTTCAGCTCATGCTCAAATTGAATTTAGCATATAAAGAGTTTAAACGTAGTCTTCTTCTTATTTGCTTAACAAAATTGCTCAGCTTCTAATCAAGAGCCAGCGAGAAAATATTTGAGATAAAAACTTGACGCTTCACTTCAATTAGTTTGAAACTATATTAATTAAAAGTTGCTGGCCAAAAAACTCAATTTGTTATTAATTAAAGAGGCAAAGTCGTCGAGAGAGGGAACGCGAGAGAGGGAGAGAGAGAGTGCCAGTGAGAGCGGGAGAGATAGCCTAGCTCAAGTGCCGTCAGGTTAATTAAGAAGACTTATGCGAAGCGCTTGACGCATAGACAAAGACGTATAGAGTTTCATAATGACAATGGAACACGTCAGCTTAATGCCTCAGCCTTGGCCATGCCGTATTCTGACAGCTCTCTAATTGCAACTCATGCAACATGGGCAGCAGCAGCAGCAGGAGCCGTAGCAGCAGCAGCCGTAGCAGTAATAGGTATAGCAGCTGCAGGCCAGCTGTCTCGCAAAACTTTCAAATTAGTCGACAAATGTTTTGGCATTTGTTACGCATACGCAACGTAGGTAAACGAAAAATCCGTTATGACAGTTCAGGTGTCGCCCCCTTCACCCAAATAGCAGTAGTGGCTAAGCTTCCATTCTACTCGATATTGTGGGCGCAGCAGGAGCAGGCGCAGGAGGCGGCTGTGGTGTAGCTTATTTCGTTAAGTGCAACATTGGGTTGCGTGCTCCCATTTCTGTTATTTGGCCAAATAAATGCCAAGGCAGGGCCAAAAAGACAAACATAACCACGCACACAACACAAGTAACGGATACAGTCACAGTTACAGTTATGGGGTCACGCACACACACACATACACACACACACAGAGAAAGAGACATATGCATAGCAATTGCCTGGCATGCAGATGTGACTGAGTAGCGCTTGAAATTTTAATGCAAGGCAGCCATTCTCAACGGCATATTTACATTTTTGCTCAATGTCAATTGTGTTTATAAATTAATTTGCAAAAAGACATATGTACGTACACACACACATACATGCACATGCATGGCCCGTGGCATTGGCAGCCCGAGTCCCCAAGCTGGGCAAAGAAAAACAGAAAAGCGCGCGCAGAACAAGTTTGTCTTTTGTTTAGAAGGCCAAGGGTGAGGAGGACCAAATGGTAGCAGAGACATGCATGTGTGTGTGTGTGTGTGTGTGTGTGGGTGGGGTGTGTCTGTGCTTGTGTGCGTGTGTCTATGGACGCCAGTGCTGACCCGGCGTAGAGCTAATGTCGCATTGTGTTGTGTCGCTGTGACAGGTTGCTGTCGCTGTCGCTGCTGCAGTTAGACGCACGGCTTTGTCTTTGCCCACCCACGCAGCAGCAGCGGCAACAGCAACAGCAGCTGCAACTGCAACAGCAGCAGCTGCCACTCAGCAGTCGTTGGTTGACTTTGTCGTAAATATTTGCGCACAAAAGTCGGCAATGATTTGCTGCAACAATCTGGCAGCAGAGGGCACTAGCAGGCGCTTGCACTCAAAGTTTACAGCACACAAACACACATTGACACGCACACACACACACACACGCACACATTCACACAGAGCTTAGCAGTTGTGCCGCAAAAAATGACAAACGGCCGAGCAGGCGGCTAATTTGCGCAACTGAACTAAAAGACAGGCACGCGCACAGTGGTCGCCCGCCAATCCCAGCTTAAATAAAAATAAAGTAAAATAAAAATAAATAGAATAATAGAAAGGTAGTTATTTGCTATGCAATTTGCATAACTTAACTAAGGCTGTGATGCTTCAGTAAACTTGATTGGTATTTTATTAATGGGACAAAGCTTCTGCTGTAAATGCGCTGAACAGTAGTTCAGGATCTGATGGAAATCTAAGCATATAAACTCAACTTCATATAAATATATTTTACGATGTCCACAAATTTAAATATGTATATAAATATACTGTTTTATTTTTAAATAATTATTTATCACTAATTAAAACGAGACATATTAAATATATACGTATATATATTTTTTATGAATATGAATTAATGAATATAATTATATTTTGTCACATTTTTCATATAATAATACAATAAAGCATAAAATAGTATTTAGTTTTAATTTCTTATTTTTAAGAAGCAGCTTTATTATTTACTATTTCTTTAGTAATTATTATTCAATTATTATTTTTTTAATTAGCACTTAAAATTCTCCATTTAAACAAGCATTTTGTACCACTGTGCTGTATTGTTAGCGCACGCACTTCCGTGCCTAGCGCCGTATCCTTAGCATTTGGTAATGCAAGTGAGCAAGTGAGCTAACCCGAACGCCCCGCGACACTCCTCTCCAACGCACTGCCGCCTCTCCTCTCGCACCCACTCCCTCTCCCACTCGCACTCGCTCAGTCGTGCTTCTAAGGCCAGCAGCTGCGTGTGCTAGGCGGAACAGCTGCAGTCTGTGACTCTTCGGCTTCGGCTGTGACTCTGTGCACGAGTCGGACTCACGCTGCTTCGGGTGTGTGTGACACACTCGGCTGTCGCTCGGCTAGCAGCCAGCCATTGGGGCAGAGTGAAAGCGTTTAAAGCAGCAGCAGTCGCCGACGCGTTCAGTTCTGTTTTCTGCTTTTTACCGCTAATTCGCATTCGCATTCTCATTCGGTTTCGGTTTCAGTTTCAGTTTCAGTTGTGCATTGCCTGGCGACGACGACAGACGCAACGCAGCGCGTAACGTAACGGGACGAAGCACGCAGACGTAACGGCGCCACGTAACGTAGCGCAACGCAACGTAAAACGTGTAACGTGTAACGTAACGGAAACGCAGAAACGACGTGAATTTCGTGGCCGCATTTTGTGAGTTATTAAAATGCGATAAAAGCCAGTGAATCGGTAATAAAGCGCTTATCTTTGCTCGCAATTACGGGAGGCGCACTCAAAAAAAAAAAAAAAAAAAAGGGGGGGGGAGGGGGGCATTGATTTTGTAGCAGTACATATTGTACCGTTCATATGGTATATATAGTCTATATGGTATATAAGTATATTTCTATGCTAGATAGACAAGTTTCTCAGTTTTGGCGGCATGGCTAGAAACAATCATTAGCTTTTCACACAACTTTTCCTTTCTTTGTTCGTTCACATTACGTTTTCATTTTTCCTTCTCTCTCGCTTTCGCTCGGTCCCTTTGCATTTGCTCTTTTTGTTTTTTTGTTTTTCGTTTTAGCTGTTGGATTGGATGGTCCACATTGGTTATAAGGCATACACAAAATACATACACATACATATTTCGAGTTAACACACTTGGATATTTAGCATTTCTTATCGTCTAAATTTCTACCGTAAATCAATTTCAACCCGCTCTTTCTCTCTCTCTGTATCTCTATCTAGCTCTCTGTTCGTTCCTCGACATCATTTCAATATTCCGTTTACATATTCCGACGAATCCTTTGTTTCATGTTAAATTTCACATAGTTTTGCAGGCAGGCAATAGCAGCAGCAGCTCATCCAAGAGCCCAATTCTCGATTCCCATTCCATGCCGGCCAGCTCCCTTCATCTCTTTCGCTCACTCTCTATCTCTCTCTCTCCTTCTCTCACGTGGTCCGCTCAATTGGCTGCTTGGCTGCAGAGCGCCTCAAAGTCACAGCGCTCGACGCTATCCACGTAGTTGGCCCGCAGCCGCGAAAGCGGACAAAGATCGTCATCCTGCGGACAGCCGGGCAGACGAATCACCCGCTCCTGATGCATTGCCAAAATTTGCGGCTCCCTTTCAGTGCAACTGCCAAAGAGTTGAAAATCAAGTTTAATCAATATACTCCATATATATATATATATCATCTATCTCACTCACTCATAGCGCACAAAAGCCAAGTTGGTTGCGAACGCATCGATTTCACTTGTGCGCCACAGACGCTTCGTCTCGAAATCCTTGTGCGTCAGCGGACGTTCGTCCTTGGCCACGCCCAGGTGGGCCAGCATCTTGAGCAGCGTTCCCGAATGGGTAAAGTAGAAGGTGGCATTGGCGCGTGGCTTCAGTGTGCTGCAAGGCAAGAACATTTCACAGGCATTCAAAAACAGAAGCTATACTAGATAGTATACTAGATCTAACATATTTCCCTATCCACTCATCATTCACGCTTGAAGGTGAATAGCATATGACCAAGCTATATGCAAAGATCTCTACTCCAGAGCTCTTCAATGCTCTTTGACTCTCTTTCTTCAAGATTGATCGGAAAAGATTTGGCACCTACTTGACTTGAGTTCTCTCTCTTTCAATCAAGTCAACTTTTGATATGCAAAAGATTTTCGAGCACCAATTGAAGTAGGCTGTGCATCGGAGTTGACATTCAACTTCTGTGAATCCGAAATTTCATTATCTAATCTCAATTTGATTCTAGGGAAAGTATTACATAAGATTAGTTGTGCCAACTACAAGAAATCTTGGAGATTGGCAAAGCTTTACGTTGCCTTGACGAGAACTCGTTAAGATCGTTAGATCCCTTATAATATCATCTTATCTATTGCTTATCTCTCTTGGCTCTAACTCACTCGATGGCCGCAAACATGTCTGCGATTGCCGGACAGGCAATGCGATGCGTCAATTCATAGCCATAGCCATCGTTCCAATAGTACTCGAGATCCTCAGCGAATTCCAAGGCGCTCAATGAGGCCACATCGAAGAAGCGACACCAGACGGATGGGGGCAGACGGCGTTGCCAGGCCGTCTCGAAGGCGCACACGGTATACATTAGCTGGACATCCTGGGTGGTCAAGTCCATTATTTTGGTAACGGCACGCACATGCGACACTGCTGACTGCATTGCGGGCTCCGCGTTGAAGCTACGTGCATAAAACATTGTTTCAGGATTCTTATCGACGTCCGTTTTCCAGCGGCTGCAGAGTTTATAAAACTGTAATGAAATCAAAGCGAGTGATTATTAATATTGTGGCTAGAGATAATGAGGGAATATGCGAGAGAGAGTTAGAGAGAGAGAGGGAGAGTCTGAGAGAGACTGGAGCGAGTGATCGTTATTGTTGTTTGAGCTACTCGTTGAAGCTACCGATTCAAGTACTGCCTCGCTTAGGTTACTCGCTATCTTCACTCGTTATCGTTAAAAGCTATCTTTACTCGCTGTCTTTACTAGTTATCGTTAGTCGCTAGAGTCAGTCGTTATCTTCACTCGTTGTCGTTACTCGTTAACTTTACTCGGTGAATTTACTCGTTATCGTCACGCGCTATAGTTATCTGTGTATCTAGCTCTACAATCGAAACTAATTTACGATTCTGTGTAGCTTTTCCTACACATTTGAAGCGCTCTTTAGTCCTTTCGTTCCTCTTACTCGTTACTTTTCTCGTATTGTACTCGTCAGGGCTACTCGTTGAAGCTACCGATTCAAGTACTGCCTCGCTTAGGTTACTCGCTATCTTCACTCGTTGTCGTTACTCGCTATAGTTAAGCATATAGAGCTAGATCTATATAATATAATAATGATATCCACAAAGACTCGTTAGTCTTCACGTTCCTCCTCCTTGCTTTCACTCGTTGCAGCTACTCGTCACTCGCTGATCTCTGCACTAGACACCGTATACACTCTACACGTGATTTACCTGGTGTAGGGCTGTAGACAGCTACCGTGTTGTCCACAAAGCCCACCGCCAGCTGAACCTTATACGGATGAAATGACAGGCATGTGGGGTGTCCAATTTTGGAGCCCATGAAGCCCTCGTTGCTGCGCAGTACGCTCTGGGTGCGTCCGTTGAGCGAGTAGATGCAGATCTTGGAGGCGTTGCCGCAGGCGATGGCATCCGCCACCTGATGGCTGGCCATGGCCGTAATATCGCCGCCCGCCTCCCACTGATGCAGTACGCCGGAGGCGCTATTCGCCCGCAGATCCAGCACGTTCACCTTGCCCGCCGTGCAGCCCGTCACGAACGAGGTGTCATTCGAGCGCAGGCAGGCATGCAGTATGGGCGCCGTGTGCTCCCGATAGACACGAATCCGCGCCTCCTGCGGCGGACAGCGCTTGTCGAACAGCCGCACGCTGCCGTCCGCACAGCCGGCCACAATCAAATCCCACGGCTTGTTGGCCACAAATGGCGAGAGGACGCGCACGCTGGTCTCGCGGGAGCCCAGCTGGAGATCGCTGAGCCGCAGCTCCCGCTCCACGTCCCAGATGCGCAGATAGCGATAGGCCTCGCACCCGACGACCAGGTGCTGGCTGTGCTGCTGCCAGGCCGTCACCACGTCCGTGGATCTGCGCTGCTGGCCCCGGCCCACGGCGTAGGCTGCGGCGGCCACCAATGCCATCGCGACGACGCTGCTGTTGACTACCAGCGGATCCGTCTTGAGTCGTCGCTGCAGATAGGAATTGTTGGCATTGCTCCCGCTTCCGACGCCGCCGCTGCCGCTGCCGCAGCTGCCGTTACCGGCGCCGGCAGCACCACCAGCAGCACCACCGGCGCTGCCGCCGCCGCCGCCGCCGCCGTTGTGATAGGCGGTGCGCGGGAATGCATCCCAGGCGCTAACCAATCGTGGCGACTCGCCCGACGACTGCCAGACGCGTATGACGCCATCGTCGTGGGCGACCAGCATCAGGCCGACATCCTGGGCGTTCAGCAGCTCAAAGCTGCTCACTCGCGCGAATATTGCCGCGGGCTGGCTTCGAATCCGGCGTCCATTGCTTCCGCTGCTGTTGCTGCCGCTGCTGCTGCTACCGCCGCCGTCGCCGCCCCCGCTGCTGCCGCCGCTGCTGCTGCCACCACCGCCGCCGCCGCTGCCGCCGGCGCTGCTGCTGCCATTGCTGCTGCTGCTGCTGCTGCCCACAGAGCTGCCGTGGCCCGAGTCCGACAGCGCTTCCGTCACGTAGCTGTGGACCAGATTGCGCACAAAGTCATAGACCAGCACCTTCTCCTTGTAGGCGACGGCAATCTGCTGCTCGTACGGCAGCAGCTTCACTATCGACGGCGTGCACTGCGTCTTGCGGACGAAGCTGAACGCGTCCAGGCGCCGGACGCACTGGTCCTGCTGCTCGCGGCGTGCCGTCCGCCGGATCTGTTCGTTGCGCTGATAGCGATACTCGCGCGTCCGCAGCTCCGCGGAATTGCGATCGACCGGCCAGCGCTGCTGACCCTCCTCCTCCTCGGTGCTGCCCTCGGCGCTGCTGTAGCGCAGCTTGCCCGGACGTGTAAAGTACGATATGGCCCACGGTATGAACGGCGTGGTCACTATCGGCTGCAGCACCTGCACCTTGGCGCTGTTCCCCTCCGCATAATGATTCGTCTCGCTGCCGCTGCTCCTCGCCGAGTTGTTGCCATCGGCCGCACTCGCGCTCGCGTTCGCAATCAGGCCGAGCACGGCGGAGCTGCCGGTGCCGGTGCCGGTGGCGCCCGCGGAGCTCGTCACGTTGCCGCTGTCCGTCTCGTCGTTCATTGAGGTGGTGCGCAGCTTGCGCTGCTGCGCCTCATTGCTGCCGGAGAGCCGCTGCTTCTGTGACCAGCGATTGTTGCCGGACGAAGTGCCGCCTCCGCCTCCGCCTCCGGCTTGTGCCGCCGCTGCTGCTGCTGCTGCTGCGGACACGGTCACTGTTGGCGCTCCCCCGCCCACCGGCGGCGACTCGCCACTCGCTCCGAGATAATTGCAGCGCGTATTCGGACTCGGCGGCAGGCTGACGCTCAGGAGGCTGCTGTTCAGCTTCTGCTGATCCCGTCCGGCCGCAGAGCTGCCAATGCCGGCAGCAGCAGTGTAATTCGTCGCCTCCTTGGCCGTGATCAAGCAGCGCGCTGCCTCGCTCACATGCGCCACGATCTTCTGGGCCGTCTCGGCGACCGCCGGAAAGGGATCCTGGCTCAGGTTGTAGATGCCCTGCCAGAGCTTGGTGAAGATGTACTGGAAGGGTATCGCATTGGTGGTCGCCGAGGTGCCAGCGTTGCTGCTGCAGTTGCCAGCGACGCAGCCGGTGCCGCCGGCGCTGCCAGACGAATTGCCAGACATCGAACCGGAGCTGACCATGTTCGAGATGGAGCTGGAGCTGGCGCCGCGTCGTATGGTCACATGCGAGTGCCGCTCCAGACTGTGCGTGTACTGGCCATAGTTGCCCGAGGGCGCATTGGGCATGCCGTGCGTGATGCTGGCGCTGCGCTCGCCGCCGCACGAGACCAGCGCCGAGCTGTGGCTGTTCATGTGCTCCGCCGTGAAGACCGTGACGAACTGCGACTCGAAGAGCAGCACCATCCATTGGAGTGCCGCGGCCAGCTCCTGGCGCACCAGCGGCGACATATCCTCGCCCACCGTCTCCACCAGGGTGATGGCTATGATCCGATCGATGTTGTTCGCCTGGCCCTCGCTGCGATCCGTCACCGAGCTGATGAAGGTGCCCAGCGCAAAGACGGCAGCGGCTCGCACCTCCGGTATGGGATCGCGCAGCAGCACCGAGAGCTTCTCGTGCGCCAGATCGCGGGCGCCCGACCAGCGCGCCTTCTCAAAGTTCTGCCAGAGCATGCCCAGGCATATGGCCAGCCACTGGCGCAGTAGCCAGCTGCTGTCGTTCAGCTGTTCCAGGCAGATGGAGAGCAGGGGTCCCTGCAGCGCGCTCGTCTGGCCCAGCAGGAAGTTGTGCACGATCGAGGCCAGCACAAAGGCGGAGAGTGTGCGATGCTGCTTGCTGACGGTGTTGTCCTGGAGCACGCTGAGAAAGTACTTGTACTCCTTGACCAGGTCCACCTGGCAGCTGGGATCGACGGCGAGTATCTTCGCCCAGATGAAGACCAGCACCGGCCGCAGCTCGCGCGTGGAGCTCTGCAGCAATTTGAGGACATACGGAAAGATGCCGACGCCCAGGGCCAGATTCACGGCCCACGGGCCCAGGTCGAGGAAGCGCGCCAGCAGCTCCAGGGCGCGCAGCCGATGCACCTGCGACAGCAGCACCTGCAGCACAATCGGCAGCTGTTCGGGCGGCGTGCGTGACTCCGATTCGCTGTCGAGCCACACCTGGAACGCCGTCAGCTGGTGCTCGAAGAAGGGCAGCTGGCGATAGGGTGCCTGCTGTTCGAGTATGTCCGGCAGCTGTTGCAGGGCCAAGTCGACGACCAGGTCCCAGGCCTTCCACATGGCGTGACGATGGCACGGCGGCAGGGCCGGCAGCGAGACCGGCGTACAGTCGTGACTGCGCAGTATGCGCTCGGCCAGCAGGAAATTCCGGAACAGGCTCGCCACGAGCAGATCCTGCCTGAAGAGGCGCTGGAACAGCTCACGCGGCAGCGTGTTCCACGCAATGGTGTCCGTGATCGCCGTGAATATCCAGTTGAGTTCGCCCATCATGGTGCGACGATCGTTCACCTTGCCCGGTATCTTGTCGATCAGGTCGCTCTGGATGCGCGGCACCATGCCCAGCTTCTCCTGCATCGCATACCATTTGAGTGCGATATTAATGGGCGTGGTCAGGCAACTGGTGAACAGATCCGCCGGCAGCTGGGCATTCATCGGCAGAATCTCATTGGCTGCACAGGCGGCCAAATGGATGCAGTTCTTGTAGCTGACCAGCTGGGAGGCCGACTGAGTGCCGGCGGCCAGGGCCTTCTCCAGCTCGTGCTCGTGCTGCTCGGCGAACGGCTGAAACGAGTTGATGATGATGCCGGCATTGGAGCAATCGTACACATATATCGACGGAGCGGACATCCAGTTGATCAGCTCGAAGATGCTAAGCGGTATATACTGGGTGAATGTCTTGTTGAACACCCAGATCTCGCCATTGGCGGTCGGCTTGGGCACGCCATGGCCATTGTAGTGGAACAGGATGCGTTCACCCTTGGCGTTGCGCCGCAGCGAGGTGCACAGCTTCTTGACATCCTCCACGGTGGGGTCATGGCACTTTTTGTAGCGAGCCCGCGGCTGCCAGCGTTCGTATTGCATCTGCAAATTGCTGCCGATCAGCTCCATGGCCTTTGGTGCCGACACCGAACTGGGATCGATCCAGCACTCGAGCCGTGAGCAGGGCTGTATTTTGACCACGTCCGGTGGATCGACGCCAATGTTGAGGCACAGCACCAGGGCCACACTGGCCGTCTTCATGCGCTCCCTAATGCGCCATGGCTGTGGCTCGAATTTCCACGCCTTAATCGATTCCACGTGACGCATCGCCGCAAAGCTCAATGGGCATTCTTTATCCGTATATGGCCGGCGTGTCTTTATCTCAGCACTGTAGCGATCCTCTTGATATTGCTGTTGCTGTTGTTGTTGTTGCTGCTGCTGCTGCTGCTGCTGCTGCTGCCGCTGCTGCTGTTGTTGTTGCAGTTGCTTTTGTTGCTGTTTATGTTGCTGCTGCTGTTGCTCTTGCAGGCGCTGACTCTTGATATAATCCTTGCTTGATATATAATTGCGCAGCCCGTCTCGGCATTTGGGATCGCTGTTCATGTTGCTGTTGTTGCTGTTGCGGCTAATTGTTGTTGTAGTCGTTGTGGTGCCGCTGCTGCTGCTGCGCTCCCTGCCAGACATTGGCACCTGCAGCGGCATCTTTCACTATATGGTATATATTTTTATATAAATATATATTTTATATATATATATGTATATGTAAGTACCTATTTATGTGTTGTGTGTGTGTGTGTGTGTGTGCTGGTTTTTCTTTTTTTGCTGTGATTATTGCACTTGGCAATTCTTTTTCTCTTCCTTCCAATCCTCGTGCTCGCTGTTGTTGTTGTCGCCAGTAGTATTATAACTTAGTCAAGTCATATGACGTTATACATATATTCAACATGACCAATCTCAACACCAACAACAACAACTACGTCGACTGTGAGTGTGACCTGTGCACATAACCCTACGCCTGCAAGGCGGCCTGCAGCAAGGCGGAAACAAAACAACGGCGTTGTTTTTTTTTTTTTTCGCGATCATAGAGTTCTGTGTGCATAGAGTGGCCAAGTCGGCACACCAAGTGGACGCGGGTACAGCTCACTTCGAAACCAAATCAGTGACGTCGTTTTTTTTTTTTTTTTTTTTTTTTCGTTCGCGTTTTTCGATCAGTTTTGTAAGTGTGTGGCAATTTGCTTGGGCAATGTCTTTGCTCGTACGCACCGATTGCAGACAATTGTTTTGCCAAAAAATAGCAAAGGTAAACAATGCTTTTCAAGTGTTAAACCGTATAGAAAATTAATATGCACGCGCAGAACGTTAAACTAACCAGATTTACGGATTTTCTCGCTTTGTATGTGCATGTGGTCGTCTCTATGTACATATTGTGCATATATATGCCTATATGTATGTGTACATGATGTATGTATGTGTGCGCCTTCATTTAATGTTACCCTCCACCATATCCACAATGATGCCACATCGCGGTTTCTTTGGCGCCAATTTTGAATATTGTGAACTCTTAATTAGCTGCGCCGGATTTAAATTGTAGATCCGCACCACGATATTTATTTGATTAATTTCATTTCAAAACCATAAAATCACCTAAGGATCATATCGAAAGATTCACTGAAATTTCAATTACATTAACCAGATTACTTGTTACACACACAAAATAATAAAAATACGATTGAGTGCATCGTTTACTCGATTGTCTCTGTCCTGTCTCTCTTTCTCTCTCTCATTCACTATTATGTCATATAGATCATATATACATAAATGTATATATACATATACGTACATATACAAATATTTATGTAAATAATACTCACCCGCAATACTGGATCTCGATGCAGGGGCTGTGGATAGTTGATGGCATGTATACGATGACGTCCAAACAATCCAGTTGCAAAACTTTGCGCACTTTTTAGCGTTCGTTGCGTGGCCGTGTACTTCATATAGAACCATTCCGGATTATATAGATCAGGCAAAAGCTTCGGAAAACGCAGTTGAAACCGTTCAGCGAGCTCGATTAACTCATCTTCGCCTTCGGCAACAAGCACTTTCTCATCGTCCTGCTCAATGTGCGACCAGCTCCAACGACGCAGTCGATTAAGTTCATCATTGCACAAATTCGGTTCAGATTGGGCTAGAATTTGCGTCTGTATTTCAGATAAACGTTCTTTAGCTTGTAATATAACCGACTTGCTGGGATTGCGCGTGCCATGGCGAATGATTGCCCAAATTCGTGTCGGGTGGCAACCTTTGGAACAAAACGAAGCGAATGAGTTTGTGCAGTGTAAGCAGCAGCACTAACCAGAGAACACATAGACCGGACACGTAGTGTAAAGTGTTTTGCACACTTTTTTTT